TTGGGGACATGAAAAAGAAGAGAGACCTTTGCAAAAATCCAGTTTATTGAACAACTTTGAATCTGGTGTAGTGTGACAGTGCAGAAATGGAGAGGCAGAAAGAAGGATGAAAGAATGCTTTACTGCTGGTCCTCGACTAGTCAGTGAGAAGGAAAATTGGACCAGTAAATGAATAGTCTCCAATATCTCTGTCTTTTATTGAGCACTTACAAATGAAAAGGGACCTGTGCAAGGATTGAGTTCACTGACCAACACTGAAGCTGAAGCAGTGACAGTGCAGAAAGGGAGGGACATGCAGGAGGGTGAGGTCTTTTCTGATGTGACAGCAGTTGAGATAAGCAATATGAGGTCAGGTAATCAATTTTACATGATTCATAAATGTCCTGACTGGTCACCTGTTAGGATCCATAGACAAGGGAATTAAAAAAATCTGGATAAAGGACTGACTATATTGTGAAACGAAATTACTGCCATTGTATTAGTTCAACCAAAATTGAATATCTGGGTAAAATGTTGTGGCCCTGACTAACAGTACTAATTTTCCTAGTTTAAGATGTATAGCCAGAGAGAAAAGGTGTGTGTAATCCTTGGTGTGCTCTCATACAAATCCCTAGTCTTTTGAGTTCATGGCCATGCATCCTGTTCCAACTTTTCAAAATAATTCTTTGAGATTATAGCTACTTCATGTCCACAGTCTCTTTCCTGTCTTCAAGCCCTTTCTTGATCCCTTGTTATTTTCTTATTGGTGGCCTCTTTTTGCTTTAACAACAATTACACCATAACAACAGTTACTGTATACTGTTTGAATGTGACCTGTGTTTGGCTGCAGGTCTTCCCAGCTATGAGGCAATGAGTTGCAATAGGATGTTCACCTAAAGACCATATTTCTTGGAAGAGGAACAGAAAGTGCTCTGGGAGGTTGGAACTATTTCTACTAAAATACAAATTCTCCAGATTAGGACCCTGTCTGCCTTTAGGGTGGAAGGGCAGAGCTGGAAAGGACTGTGTTGTCTGAGTCATTTGATCACCCAGTAGGGGAGCTGCTAAAGTCCTGATGCTCAGCTGGGTGAGTTTAGCTAATGTGGGATTCTCAGAATTAGCAGTAGCAGTGGGAGGTAGGTTGCAGGTTCTTTCCAGGATTCTCCTCTGGTTCTGATGTAAGTAGCTTTGAGGGAGACCACAAGCCTTCTCAGGGGAAATGTCGGGGCCACTGACTCCAAACATGGAGGAGCACTTCTACTAAGCTGTCAGAGCTGCTGAGATTGGAAGGAACCATGAGTCAGAATGTAATTCTCTTGGTTGATTTGGTTACCTAGGCTATGATCCTTCTCTTCTGAGCCTTCTTGGATGTGGATTCCCTGGGGAGGAGGGGACTCTGTCACCCTGGCTATGGAAGGGCATAATGCTTGTAATACATGTGTCCAGTGTGCACACACAGGCATTATTTTGATGTGCAATGGGAAGACAAATTTGAAAACTGAAGGTCTGGTTTCTGGAAATTCTGTGCATTGCATTTCACTTTCAGGTTTGTCTTATAAATGTTACAAATAGTTTAGAAACTGGTAGAAAAAAAATGGTGGGGATCATCCTTCAGAAATATGTGATTGGAATGTTTTTAAATTTCTAATATAAGGTTGACCTGATTTAGGGAAGTGTAGTTCCAGAGGAGTAAAGAAATTCTGAGCTACCAAATACTTCAGGTATGCATGGTGTTGGGCAGGTGTTGAGCAGACATATTTTCTCTGACAATTGGATATCCCATTTCTTATTTGTAGGAAGCTTGTTCCCTCTAGCAACTATGGTATATGATCTATCATATCCTTAGTTTATGGCAGGAAATATCAGGAACTCATTTATTATGTGGCTCTTAATTTTCTGAGTCTAGGAGTAGCACATCCTCTGGTGGGTTTCCCAGGGCCTGCTAACCCCCAATCTGACCCTTTTCTAAGATAGCTATAGTAGAGTGTCCCAAGAGCAAGGAAAAGAGTCAGAGACACCCCCTTACACACACTGTTAGGAGTCCTATAAAAACACCAAGCTACACAACCATAAAATATATGCACAAGACCTGCCACAGATCTTTGGAGGCACCATAATTGCTGCTTCAGGTTCTGTGAGCCACTATGATGCCTGCTAAGATTCTGTGCGCTATGTTTTTCTTGTGTTCTTGACCCTCCTGGCTCCTACAATACCTCCTCCTCCCATCTTTAGCAGGGTTCCCAGTACTCCAGCTAACATTTTATTAGGATCTTTGCTTCTGTTCCAGTCAGCTGCCCAAAGAAGCTCCTCTGATGACAGTTGGGTAGGCATCATTCTCTGATTATAGGAGAATATAGTTAGGAATCATTTCATTGACTTTTTTCTTTTTGGCAGGTTGTATTTGGTTCTTCCCTAATTCTCTGAGCCATTCAACTTCCAGTTCCTGTTCATCCAGAAAATGTTGGGCATGGGCTCCCTCTTGTGGCCTGAGCCACAAATTACACCAGTCATTGGTTGGCCATTACACAAGCTTTGAGCTGCTATTGCCCCAGCATACCTTGCAGACAGGACCAGTGTAGGTCAAAGATTTTGTTGCTGGGTGGGTGTCCCAGTCCCACCACTGAGATCCTTGTGTGGTTACAGAAGCTGGCCAGTTCAGGTTCTGTATTCTCAGTTTCTTGGATGTTTCTACTTAACTAAATTTCCACATTGGCCCATAAAATCTCCCCTCTTCTAAATAGGTCTCCCTGTATTCTCTTCCTCTGTTCTTCCCTTCCTCACCTGATGATTCCTGCTCCTGCCCCCCATCCACCAACAAAATAAGTTCTATTTCCTCTTTCTAGGGAGATCTGTACATCCCTCTCTACAGCTTTCCTTGTTATGTAGCCTTTGTGGGTTTGTGGATTATACTGTGATTATTATTTACTTAACAGCTAATATCCACATATAAGTGAGTACATATCATGTGTGCCTATGTGGTTCTCAGTTGCTTTGCTCAGGATAATAAAGAACTCAGGAAACTAGATATGAACAAACCAAATAATCCAATATAAATGGGGTACAGATCTAAACACAGAATTCTTAACAGAAGAATCTAAAATGGCTGAGAAACATTTAAAGAAATGTTCAACATCCTTAGCCATCAAGAATGTGCAAATAAAAACTATTTTGAGATTTATCTTATACCTGTCATAATATCTAACATCAATAACACAAGAAACATATCATGCTGGCATGGGTGTAGAGTAAGGAGAACACTCATCCATTGCTTCTGGAAGTGCAAACTTGTACAGCTTTGAAGTCATTATGGTGTTTCCTGAGAGAACGGAGAACTGATCTATCCCCAGATCTATCTATAACACTCTCGGGCATATACCCCAAAGGCACTCCTCCATCTTGCCCCAAGAACAATCACTCAACTATGTTCATAGCTGCTTTATTCATAATAGCCAAAACCTGCTGTGTCTCTGAGAGATTGTTCCTGGTATTGGTTTGCATAATTCCCTTGATGTTGTTTGTTTTTCAGCCTGGCTTGGATATCCATATTTAGTCAGTAATTCATTTGAACCCACAGTCCTTATGTCATCTTCCTGAGTACAAGTCCAATGGTAGATGATGTACCCCCAGTGTGTGCTGTTTTATCAACATGTTTCAACCATGTTGGCATTAAAATGCCTAATAGAAGAAAATATAAGAAACTTTAAATACCTCATGTTTATATTCAAAGCATCATTTTTATCTGTTTTGTAGAGATGTAATAGTGTAGTATAACCAGCAATGAATTGTAAATTTTGCTGGAGATCTGCTTGGGGAGAGGGGGTTCTGATCCTAAAGCTGATTTGTGGATTCAGCAGGGGTGAGAGAGAAGGAGGAGACTGACATGATATGAAGGTGAACCAGATGACTGCCAGCAGTGTTTCATTGAAAAAAGAGACACCTTTTATACTTTCTAGTTTCATGTATGATTAAACAGGAGAAAAAAGGGCTTGTGAGCTTGTGTGTGGTTTGAAATCATGGGTTAAATAAGCTAAACTTGACCTTGACCTTCAGCGCCAGCCATATGTTAATGAAAGTACCCAAGTTTCTCTTGTCATAGTAAGGAAAATGACTGCTTTAGCAACTGGGAACTTTCCTCAAGCCCCAGAGGGAATGGAGACCCTTATCCAAATGACTGATCTTGGGAAAATGACTTCTTCTGCAGAACATACACTATACTACAATTTCATAGTCTTACTATAAGGGCCTGTTCCCCTTGTAATGATCCCCAAAGGCAAGGTCCTGATGTCTTACTCTTTCCCATTAAATCATACCATTCTAATTTCTCTATATTTATTAACTCAATCCTTACCCTTAATTAACTCAGACTCTGGATCTGAGCAGTGGGCATTTCATCTTTGGGATCAAGTGTGTCTAGTAAATCTTTAACTTTCCTGTTCTTGGTGTAACTAGGAGGGCACAATGGAATTCCTGGTTCCAAGGTGACAGGGATTTTTTTTGTTTTGTTTTGTTTTTTTTGAGACAGGGTTATTCTGTGTAGTTTGGTGCCTGTCCTGAATCTTGCTCAGTAGACCAGGCTGGCCTCAAACACACAGAGGTCTGCTTGGCTTTGCTTCCTGAGTGCTGGGATTAAAGGCGTGCACCACCACCACCTGGTGACAGGGATTTTTTTTCCAAAGAATTATTTTGTGTAGAGAGTCTACCAGTGTACACACTTTTATTCTTTACCAAAACCGTCACCAAATATCTTAGAGGGAAAGTCATTAATAATGAATATCACTAAAAATGAAAGTAAAAAGTGCTGGAAAAGTGTGATCAGTCTATAATATCAAAATGCTGGAACTTTGTCAAGCAGCAATGTTCACCATGTTTTCCACACCAATAATTTACAACATAGCTTGATGTGCTATGTATATGTATATAGTATTTGAAGTTCTATGTTTCTTCATGTCCTCATTAATTTCCCATTTGACACTTCATCTTGAAGTACTGCCTTCCAGGGATTATCTAGAGATGCCAGATAATATAATGGCAGTGAGATTTATTAAAAACAAAATAAAACAAACAGAAAACATTTCTGTTGTGTATGTGTAATGTGAATATGGGTTTTTAGGTCATGACAGATATGGGGAGACCAGAAGGCAACTTCGTGGGGTCTTCATATGGTCATCAAGGTCAGGTCCCAGACTTGCACAGACATTTCTCAATTGTCTTACTGGTCCTAAAATAAAATTAGTTGAAATATTACATCAGTAAAATATAACCTTCTTTTCAGATTGTAAACATATTGTCATCTAATAATAGAGGAAAACAGGACAATTTTGAATAATAGATCCTATTTGCAAATGGACATGATATACTGCTATCTCTTTTGTTTCCTTTTTAAGGAATGTATTTTTTCCCTTGAGGATTAAATGCTTGTTCATAACACTTTCACAGAACCACAATCTGATGCCATAGAATTGTCTCAGTGGTATAATTGCTGCTGAGCCTAATGACCCAAGTTCATTCTCTGGAAGACTCAAATTTCTCCAACAAATTGTTTACTTATTTTTATACTCAGGCTATGACATATGTACACTCTCACACCAGCACATACATAAATAATTTTTAAACCCAAATAAGTGTAATTGAGGTCACTTGCAGGCAAATGACTCTCTGGGTTTCATCTTCAGAACTCAAATAAGAGAAGTAGATAGTAGACACCTTTATGTTGTCCTCTCACTGCAACATACACATGATGGCACAGTTATATACACACAAACATGGTTCAGTTATTTTTAAATGGATAAACTTTACAAAATAAATAACCCAGTTATTGAGAATATATGAAATGATATCCAATTTTGTATTATTATTACAAAATTCCAGGAATTATTACTGTTCAACAGAACACCGATGGTGTCTTTTAAAATCTTATTTTGCCCTTTAATTCTCTGATTTGAAGATAGGTCATTTAAAAAACACATCTTAGCTGGGCTTAGAGGTACATGCCTATAATCCCAGAACTTGCAAGACAGTGAGAGTCCAATCTCTTTGAGTTTGAGGTTTGAGGTCAGCTTAGTTCAAACAGTGAGTTCCTGGACAGCCATGGCTATGTAGAGTTACCTGTCTCAAAAAATTCCAAAAAAGAAAAGGCGTATATTGAACTATAGAACTTTTATTTTTTTTTCTTGGTTTTTCTAGACAGGGTTTCTCTGTGTAGCTTTGCGCCTTTCCTGGGACTCACTTGGTAGCCCAGGCTGGCCTCAAACTCACAGAGATCTGCCTGGCTCTGCCTCTCGAGTGCTGGGATTAAAGGCGTGTGCCACCACTGCCCGGCATTAGAACTTTTCTTATATAATCTGACTCGACACTGACTGGTTTCAACAAATCAGGTTTGTTATCTTTACTCACATCAAGAGAATTATGTTAATAATTAAAATAAAAAGCAAAGTAGAGAGTCCATTCACAGAGGGATAGAAAGCCATTGAATCCTTTGACAGCCATCGAGATAGGACTTTCATGACCTTCAAGTGATAGAAGACAGAATGTTTTATTATGATATTTGAGAGCTGGAGAGTTTACTGAATAGTCATTCTCCTCTTGCACACCCAAGTTTGGTTCCTAGTGTCCACATCAGATGCCTCAGTACTATCTGTATTTCTAGGTCCAGGGGGTTTGATGTATCCTTTGGGCTTCCTAATTTAGAAGATATACAAAAGGTAAAAAGGCAGATATACATGTGATTCCATATTTTAAAAATGGTTTTCTTCATGTATGTTATTTTCAAAAGAAATAAAATTTAGCTGTGTAAGTGTAGCCAGTGTATATCAAGTGCATTCCAGGTACCAGTTGAAGTCATAAGAGAGTGTGTGATCCCAGCTGCCTATAGTTACAGACAGTACTGAGCTGTCTTTTGGGGGATGGGAATGAGCAGTCAATATTCTGTGGTGTTGAGCCATCTATTCAGCCCCATGAACATGTCATTACAGCAGTAAGGTGTGAATGGATGATCCTGATTTCATCTTTACCTCAACTCTAATCACCCAAAAGAAATACAAGATTGATGGCTTCCAAAACTAACTTAGACATGGTTCTTAAAGAAGTTTCCAAGCCCAAATCTTCACAAAATGAGAGACAAATACAAAAAATAATCAAGAATGTCATTGACAATACAAGTCTTAAAAAGTGTCTGACTTCTGGATCAAGGCCACAAGACTTGAGTTTATCTCCAATGCCAAAAATAGAGGAGCAATGTGAGCCCACAGGGACAATTGTCAGATGTAGATGTATCCAACCTTCTTATTAAATAATAAACACAGAACCAATGCAAAGAAGAAAGCCAAGAGGTCAGAGCTAAGAGCTAAAACCTTACCCTTCCTCCTGCGGTGGTCCTACCTCTCCGAACCAGAGCTACCCCTGTGTTAAAGTCTTTATATAGAGTTCCTGTCCTGCCTTCTCATTGGTTGTAAACCCAACCACATGACCGCCTCCTCACAGCCTGTCTGTATAGGCCTCCAGGTTTTCCATGATTGGTATTAAGATTAAAAGCATGTGTATCCAATAATGGCTGTATCCCTGAACACACAGAGACTTACCCAGCTCTGCCTACCAAGTGCTGGAATTACAAGCGTACGCTACCACTGGCCTGGTTTCCTATGGCTTGCTAATAGCTCTGACCCCCGGGCAACTTTATTTATTAACATACAAATAATATTTTAATACAAATAAAATATCACCATATTTCCCCTTTTCTATTTTAATAAAAAGGAAAAAAAAGAAAAAGCTTATAACTAATATAAGAAAAACTATATACAAAAGTACAATAACTATATACAATATATACAAGTAATAAATACCTAAACAATGTCTAGCCCATTTGTATTTGACAAATTCAGAGAAAATAATTTCATTATCTATCCTATTTTGGTAAGTCCAAAATGTATCCTAATTAATCTTCAACTATAACTAACTAAACTTCAACTATAACTAACTAATCTTCAACTCCCTCAGAGACCCAAGAAGGAAATAATATTAGCTAACAAAAATAAAAACAGGAAGTGCACATAAGCAACTTCCAAAAAATTTGTGAGTTGACAGAAACAGACAGCTGTCTGGACAGTCACCTGAGGTTTCTCCGAAGTGCTGGGGCATCATCTTCAGCCTATAGGCTTAGCATATCTGACAGACTCATTTGTGAAGTAGGATGTACACAAGGTCAACAGTTCAACCTCACATTGAGTGAGAGTAGTCCATGTACCAGAAACACCTGAATTCCGCTAGTGTCATGTCATGATTCAGGATTTTAAATTCTGGAAATTGTTGATGGTTTTTTAATTCAGCTGTCCATTCTTCTTGGCTGTGTATATATGGCTTCATCTCAGCATCCCATTCTTCTCCATATCCCTCCATCAAATGCCAGTCTACTATTGAGAGGCGTGAGCTTAGTTACTCTTCAAGAATAACTGTTTCAGCTGCTGTTCCATTGCACATCAGAGGCCATTGGCCCACTGCCTGTTCAGCTGCCTTCGAAGAAAAGGGCACTGTACCTTTTTTGAATTGCGAAGGCCACTTCAGGGATGGTGCCATATTGTCCTGGCCTCTGAAGATGCCTTTTGATAAAGCCATAACCACACTTGTTTTGGCAAGAATCAGTAATCCTTTGTTTTATGTCCTGTCTGTCCATTTTGTCCTGTTGATTCGAGGATACTTTGTTGTCCAGTGGCTAACTTTTGTCACAATGAAAGTTAACTCCATATGCAGTTTCTTCAATGCCCATATTTTCTCTGAAGTAGATTGGTACTGCCAGGAGCCGACATGTCTCATAGTCATAACAAAAAAGAAAAATTTTCTAAGTTATTAAAACATTTTAAATGCCATATTCTGTAGATCTCTGAAGGGTTTGAAGATAACCTGTCTATCTAAAATATATCTACTCAATCTTGAAAACATACCTAATATAACTACAAGTTCTATTATAATATCTAACTACTAACTTTCATTTCTTTATATCCTAATAGTTGGTAATAACATTCAAGGATCAGAAAATTGCATTACATTGTTAGATGAAAGGTACAATTAGAAAAATATATATAACATTTTCTAACAATATCAATTTCAATATATATAATTTGTATACAATATAAAACAATCCAATCCAATGTAAAGTATTTACATTTTTCTTTTCTTTCTTTCTTTCTAATAAGAACCTTAAATCTAATCTCCTTTGCTTAGCCTTTTTCCTAACCCTTGACAACAACTTGTAACCAACCCCCCTAATCAATGAAAATTATCCCAGACCCAAAACCCATTAAAAGACCAAAAAAAACCAACCGCCCCACACCACCTCTTTGGGAATGTGGGCGTCGTATTCTTGAAATTGCTTCCTGCTGGGTATGGGCGAAGGTATCTTTATCCTGAAAGAAAAATTTTAGGTTAATTGTCAAATTCTAGGAAAGGTAAATATATCCTTCGTTATCCAGTCTGTGTATAATGCCAAAATTCAGGGTTTATCTCAAATCCTTATTCAAGTAGTCTTTGAGACTGGATCATCTCAGCTAGCTCTTCTCAAAATTGCTCTGAGCACTTTGTAGTTCAAAGCTGATCTGTAGATGATGTCTGTCAGCTTAGTGATGTTATTATTGTCCACGTGGAATTGTTGTTGTTGTGGGGCCCCATCTTCTTCCTGGAGACTTCAGTTGATGTTAGGCCAAACCGTGATTTCCTGCAAAAAGCTGATAAGAGACTCGAACACAAAGACTATATATGCAACTTTTTAGAATTAGTTAGTACTCTATATGACCACTTATATCTTAACAAAGTTTAAAATGTATATATATTTATATATATTGATCTTGTAAATTTTGATATAAAATTCATACTTTAAGAAAAGTTTAAAGAATCAGAATAGAATCAAAAAGTTGAGATTCGTAATAGAATAGTCCCTTAATTAATTTGGCTTTTCTCCTGTCCCATAGCAGAAGATGGCTCTTTTCTTCTGGCATGATACAGGGAGTTTGCATTTTCCTTTTAACAACATGCTTGAGTTTAAAGAAGGAGAGAGCCATTCTCCAACTCCAAAGTCAGCTTTAAATTTTAATTGAACTGGGACTATTAGAAGTTAAATAGTGTTAAATCTTTAAAGAAAAGCAGAAACAAACATTTAGGAAGACATAAAATTTTTTTTAGATAACATACCCATACGCCATTTCACTCTGTTTCTTAGGATAGATGATTTGT